CCAACTCCACCCCCCAAGGCCTTAATAGTCGGCTGAGCTCCAGCTACCGGTTGAAGGGCTGCCCCCGAACTGGTAGTCTTGGAAGACGACGGATGCGGCATAAAGTTACATTGGTGGCATCTGAGGCTGAATTGGTGGCATTTGAAGTTGAGATTTTCTGACAATGAAGCTACAAAAGCTTCCCAGAAATAAGCTCCGCTACCATGCATGCTGCAACATTGCAAACAACTACACAGCTAGCTGTGCATGCTGGAAGCTACTATGTGTGGATAGCTCCATGAACATGTGCAACATTGCATGTTGCATGCTGGATACTGCCATGCACAGCCTGACTCCATGAAAATGTGCAACATTGCATGTTGCACGCTGGAAACTACTTTCATTTTCCACTGGCTCAAGAAAAAAAGTGCATCAAAAACTGAGCTGTAAATGTATCTATGTGACACATTGGACTCATTCAAAACAATGGGGTTGGGATCAATCTTCCAGCTCTGCCGCTCCGCGCCTCAGGGGGGGGGTAGGTTTGTCGGGACACGCCTCTCCGGCGGCTTCGAATCCAGCGAGTGGTGCCAGCCTTGGAACAAGGTTTCAGCATCTTGCACAGAGGATCACAGAAGCCACTCTGGCCACTGACTCTAGCCATTTCTAAATGGGTTTCTCATGGTTTCTCAGATTTCCTGGAATCTAACAGGACAGGCCCCTATGACCATATTATAACATGTGATTTACAAGTAGACACAAGTGGACATTATTTAAATTAATGTGATCCGTGGTAGAGTTTTGCTTGGAATTGTAATGTCACTGCATCAGTTGCACTGTACAGTAACATCATTCTCGCATTGCTCACTGCCGTGCTGGCAGTGTTGGTGAGGTCACCTCACCTTTTGACCGCATTGTGAGCACAGATTTCGTTGGTCTCGTACTCAACTTTCTAGCTTTACTGTGAAAGACTTGTCGCCAACCTTCCAACTCCAAGGTTCAACTTTGCCGAGCCTTCTGCAGAGCAGGCCCGGTGCACCCGGTAGAGACGCAACCCTTGCAGCTCAATACGTGATACGCCTGTGTGATGCCTGTGGCTGTTCACACAGTTGGCACTTGGGGCTCAAGGAGGCTCAAGTTCGGGTCCACCAAGTGATGGATCTCCAAGCCCTCATGAACAGGGGCAATAAGGGGAAGGCGTGCCGAAAGCGCCCTGCTGCCAGCATGGAAGAAACGGCTGGTGAAATGCCTGAAGTTTTGTCCGGGCCCTGAACATGTTTTTAACTTTTTCACTTCTCTGAGTACCTTTGAGTTTTCACTTTGCCACTTCTCATAATTTTTGCCATAGACCCAGGCCCGTCCTACCAGAGTATCCCATGCCACAGACACCAGCAGACATGTCGATGCTCGGTTCACATACAGGTTGCGCTTATCAAAAAAATATATGATATATACGTTGTATTTATAAATATAATATATATATATATATGTATATTCTGCATGTTGCTTAGTGTAGTACCCTGGGGGCATAGTGACCTGTCCTGGCTTAGGAGATGGGCCTTTGTTCTCCTAGAACGCGCAGCTGTTCTTCTGGGTCAGGAGTTCGTGAAACAGAAGCTGAGCACCTCTAGTGAAACCTTTGAGATCCTTTGAGTCTTCCACGTCTTCCTTTCTGCTTTGAGTTCATCTAAAAAATCATAATCTCGCGTTCAATCTGGCTCAGGCACATGCCGTTGGAAGATCTATGATCTCTTCGCAGGATGCCTCTGTGTCCGACAGGGGTGGGCGTTCATCCATGCAGCAGCTCTTGAAATGTGGGGTGTCAGCACTCACCTAGATTTTGGTTTTGCCGTGCCCTAGCTTAATAGTAGGGTTCCAGTCTCAAGGCAATACCATCGCACAAACAAACATTTGAAAGTGAACCACTTTGAAGTGTTTGGTTTAAACCCCACAAGTTCCCACATGTTGCCCTAGACTCGTGCTTGATGCGATTGAGGTGGAGATCAACAAAGCATGCCAGGACCTAATCAAGGAAACACACCCGAGCAGCTGTGTCTTTGGTGACATCCTCAAGCTTGTCTCCAACCCTCCAAAGAAAGACGATTGGGATCCATCCAAGCTATGCCTTGTGAAGAAAGCGGAGTGTGTTGTTCACAAGAAGAAGTTCTTTTGGCTAAACCATGAGCCTTTAGTGAACTTTAGTGGCTTTCATCTTCACCCAGCAATTGTTTTGACTCGTCGGCACGGTTGAGATCCCCTGCGGGCCATCGACCCAGGTGCGAACTTCCAGTGGGGCCTGCTGCCCAAGACTGCGGGTTGATCGGAGCTCCATGCATACTGTTCAGCAAGCCATCCACTAAGTTTGCATCAGATGAAGAAATGAATCACACCAAGCACTGGTTGTCTTGACCGGTGACCACTGGAGAAACCAAGGTATGGAAAGCGGGAAGGGTTTTCCAACAAGAAGCTCAAGCAGTGCCACGATGTCAGCATCCGTTTTCAACAGCGGACGCCAATATCCATCCATGAAAATGTGGAGGGCTACGAGGAGGCTAGGTATTTCCATCTAGAATAGAAACAGCAACCCTTGAAACCACTCGTCAGGAATACTTGGACACTCACCTGAAAAGCCATGCCCGGCAGTCGGCCTTGCCAGGATCTCAGAGATGCAACCAAGGATGTTCTTGATGTTCTCAAAGTGGAGCAGTCGCCTTTGAACATGTGGAAAATAAACTGAATTGCACGTTGCACATGGTCTGCCCAGGCTGAGCCCAACGTTGTTCGGGCACCCAAACAGTCGCAACCGCTCATGGAGGATTTGCTTTGCAAAGGGCAAGAAGAAGTGGACTTCAGACATGTCTTTTCAGCAGTTAGCTGATGTTTTGCTAGCGCCTTCTGGGAAAGAGCCCAACCTTGACTATTTGGCCTATTTGGTCGATATTGGACATGAGAAAGGATGCCATTCTGAAGAAGACTTGACCAGGCGCATGTGGCATCACACGGCTTTATGTTTCATAACATTTGAAAGACAACGCATAGGTCATGTGTATCTTCATCAAGTTAACCCTCTTCAACCGCCAGCCAAAGTCCTGCAACACCCTGAGGAGCCAGGCGCTGCACTTGGATAAATTTCGACGTGAGATGCCTCAGCGCCATCTCTACGATTTGAGCGCCAATGTTCAAAAACGCCGACGAACTGAATTGAAGAACAGGACCCTAATTTACTTGCAATACAACCACTAACTACTCATTGAAAAGGTCTGTGAAGATTGGGCAATTTATGAAACAGCAAGCCATGTGCAGGATGTTTCTCTGTCTCACTACATCCAGCTTCTTCTGGTTTGGTGCTCAACTTCTGCTTTGCAAATAGTTGCCTTTCACAAAGCACACAGCAAACATCAGCATTTGATTCGTATTTGGAAACAATGATGAGTTTAGAGAATATATATATGCAAGACTTTAGAGGAACCGCCAAACACAAGAGTATTCGTATGTCTGAGGTCGGAGGACAAACACCGGACTATGTCTTCGCGAGAGAACTTGCACGTGCTTGGATTTCCATGTTGGGGCCCAGGCGCATCAGCAGGGCGAGTTGAGTCTCGTCCAAAGTTCAACCTTGCACACTGCAAGAGAGTCTCATGTAGTTCATTAATGAAAAGCGTAAGCGCATTGTTTGACCTGACCTGTTTCTATTTGTGAGGACTGTGTTGATACCAGCACCATTTCCGAGAGTGCGCTTCGAAAGATGGCTGGGAATGGCATGTCGGTCTGCTGTGCTGGTTTCACTCTTCTCATGGCTGTCTTGTTTGTAGAAGACAGCTAGCAGCCGCAAAGACTAGTGAGCCGACCAATTCAGTTTGTTGCCCAATTTGAGGTTACCGCACGGGATCTGTGTGGTCGAGGGAAAAAACAAACCTTCAAGGCCTTGCTTTGCTCTATATACTTGTTTTCTTTGCACTCACCCAATCTTCGCCCAGTAGCACCGATAGAATCACTTGTCTGGGGGTTAGTCTTTTGGTATTCTGGCTCAAGGCCACAATGCCACCATTTGGGAAGGAGAAATCTGAGCCTTCCCCAAAACCATTGCCTTTTTTGAGCCAGCGAACCCATGATCCAAAGCCCAAAAACCCTGCTGTGATTAAAGCTTTTCAAGAAGAGCCAGAAGAACCTCTACCTCCTGGTGCTCCACAGAAACCCGTGCCAGCCAAAAGGAAGTTTGTGCCCTTCCAAGAAGAGCACGATGAGGAAATGGATAAGCCACAGGTTTCCTCTGCTTCTAGCAGCAAGGCTCCTTCCCAGCCATTTCGGGAGGAAGGAGAAGAGTCCGGGGAAAGTTCTAGTGATGAAGGGGGGCAGGAAGCGCAACCTGCCAAAGCCACAACTATCTTCTCTCTTGGGTGGCAATCCATACAAACCTTTGTATCAGGGACCTTCTGGAAGGAGAATATGGATGAACAGAAACGAGACCAACAGAAACGAGCCTATGATAACAGCAAGCGGAGGGCAGCTGCTGAGTACAAACGAGAAGGAACTCGAGGCCACTTCAAAACGAACGGATTGGATCCTCTGCGTTTGAGCGGCCTGTTCTGTGCACCGGCTTGTGGATGCAGCTCGAATTGTTCCCAACATGTTTGTTTCTAAAGTCTTTGAACCTGTATATATCTGTATATTATAGTAGTTTGGACCTAATTGATTCTCCCAGCGCCATTGTAACTGATTCAAGGTGCTCTACGCCAATGCTACAAGCAGTTCCAAGATTCCAAGGAGTTTAAATCATTTCTGGAGAAATTCTGGAGCCTGGACAAGCGGGATCAAGATTCTCTAGACCCTCAGATGCATACACTCTTTCTTGAACTCAACCCTAACTGGAACTCAACCCTACCCAAAGTCTTAACATATAGCACAGAGGTGGTGTTGAGTTGATATGCCTTTGATCCCCCTAGATGCAGCAAGCTGGATCTACTTCTGCTGGCTCCAAGCTGCTGGACAAGCCTGTGGGTCTGGGCTGCCTGGCCTCTCTGATGGGCATCGGCCGCAATCGTCTCCACAAGGTCGATTGTGGAAACCCGGACCTGAGATTCGGGAAGCGGGAGTATCGAAGCAAGGCCCTGACGTGGAGCGTGGACTCTTTCCTACAGATTGCATACGATCGGATCGCTGAGACTTTACCTGACAAGTTTCCTGGACTTGACTTGTAGAACAGAAAGATTTTGACTTATGCAGACTTACTTAGATTGACTTGGAAACTGATGGCAACTGATCATTTTACACAAGGTTCATTCGCCGTGGGAGGGCTTCCAAACCACCGGCTTCAGTGGATTTTGATGATGATGACAGGGATTCCAACTATGAAGAAGTTGAGTCCGATGTTGACATCGAAGAGCTGTCCACGTGGTTGAACACCAATCATTCTGTCCAATCAGGGCTCCTGCCTCGCGAACAGCTGGTCCGGAAGTACTTGCCGCCTGGTACAGTCCAGGATTTGTACGAACACTACAAGTCGACTCAGTCCATGCTTGGTGCAGGATCCGTCTCGTAATCTGTCTGCACCCAGAAACCTGTTGAAACAGCTTGTATCAACTTGTAGTGGACTTTTGGCACAACCACCGAACCCCCAGGTATTCTACCTTCAATGCAGTGTTCAAATTGCGATGGAAGGATATCTTACACTTCCGATCGAGATCGAACTTCTCGCAATGTGAGATATGCCAGCTCCTCAAAGGCGACCTGTCAAGCAGAACCCTCAACTTTGACCAAAGGTTAGGAGCTTTGCACCAGTATCGGGATCACTTGTACCAGCAGTACTGTGACCGCACAGTGGCCTGGAAGATGCAAGCCTGCAGCGCAGAGCCCACCTCGGATTTGCTGGTGATCTCAATTGACGGCTTAGATCAAGCCAAATTTGCTCTCCCTAGAGACCCCATGTTGAGGAGCAGCGCTGCATTGAATCCCAGCTGTTGTAGCAAACTTGTTTGATATGGACTAGTAACTAGTACCTATTCCCACTTGTTGCTTGGGAACATTGAAGCACCAAGGGACAAGTACATTAGACCTCGCCTAAAGATTCACGGCGCTTGGTGCTTCGGATATGTCCTCAAAATCTTTGCAATAGACGACCCTGGCCGTCACAATAGCAGCTGCATCATAGAGGTAATCAGCCAATGCATTGAGGAGGTGGGCTGTGTGCTTTTGTTTGGGTGGGTGGCCTGATAATGTCAGGGGCCCCTGTGAAGGTCATGGATATATGCACCAAGCGCTGCAGCCCACCACCACAAGCAGTGGTGATTTGGGTGCCTTGAACATGTCAAGTGATTTTTGGTTCGAGCTTGAACATGTGGTGCCCTGAAAAACAACTTTAAGGCAGACAACACGGTTCGAGAGGCAAAGAACCAGTATTTGATGTCGTTCCTGAACCTTTTGGTCGGACAATACCGCTTCAAGACTGCAGCTCTTTGCCACCTCCGCAAGAGTCATACTCATTGCCGGATCGGTCCTTGATCTGAAAATAAACCTTGTTGGGAGGGCTTTGCAAGCAACATATTTTAAACGACCATAAACAACAACCACTTGTGATACGCATTGATTTTTGGGGTTGGAATTTGGACAGCATCTAAGATCAACTTTGGGGAATAATATCGAGACGGGTGGGAAACCAACAGCAACTGCAAGATGTTCAAGATGTGATAGAAGTCATTGAAGATGAGTTGAGCAAGCCTACGATCCGTGACTGGGTCGGTCCAACGACTCATGTCACCGTCACCAAGTTAGACGCGACCCGTGCTTGGCGGCAACATCTCCCAGGGCTGGGAGTGAAGTTGGAAGGAGGCCTACTACGTGACACTGAGGGGAACCACATGTTCCTGTCGATGCTTCGACGAGGAGGGGGTGTTAAAATCTAGCTGGCTCTGCCAGTTTTCAGTTCAGCATCGGTAATGAAAACCATAATCACCAATGATAGTGTTTCAATGTGTTTCAACCTCCTGTTATCACTGCCCAGCCCTGGAGATGTGCCTGAGTCACTGGCCCGGAATGTGGACCACGGCAGCTTCAGGGGCATAGCCTCGCCACATGATGTGATAGTATTCATCAAGAAGCATGTGTGTGACGCTACCCTGTCTCAAGAGCCACTACTTGTCCTCTCGCACGCCCGTGCTGAACGTTTCAGCCTAATCCCTGATGAAAAGCTTCTCAAAAGCATTTAGTTGTTTCTGTTTCAACACCTTACTTTAAGGGATTTGTTTTGGTAGGGCCATGGTTTGAGAATCTTGCCACCAAAAGAGGTGCACCAAAAATGAGTGTTAAGCGTCTTGTCAACCCCTCTTGGCAACTCAGGGAGCCAAACAACCATACAGTGGAGAAAGCGCGAGAATGGAGGAGGCTTGCCGTGGCAGTCGGTCAAACCTATGGACACCGATATCAAAGGAGTGTTGACTACTTGTCAGGCCTGGCAGACAATGCCTTTTGGGCCAACGCCGAACTCCCGGAGTTGTCTTGGCTCGCCCAGGATAGGCACGCCCCTAACCCTGCGCAGCCACGGTACATCATGCACGAAGCCGTGCTGAATGCACTAGCCCCCGCAGTCCCACTGAGGGCTGTTTGGGGAGGAGACCGGAGGGTCTGAGCAAAAGAAACTCTGTGGGCCTGGTGGAATGACTCTGTAGGTACCAGTGGGCCATAGCTAGTACCCACAGTGTTCGTCGTGACTTAGAAGGCTTTTAAAGTTTCCCTTCACTAGAAAACATATTGATTTCCACCAATTCCAGGCTTCTCACAATCATGAGGTGACATGTTCGATGTACTCGAGATTTCCGGGGGAAGATTTTCGATGCACCCAAGGTTCCTGGGGGTAGATTTTCGATGCACCCAAAGTTTCCGGACGGACATTTTCGATGCACCCAAAGTTTCCGGACGGACATTTTCGATGCACCCTGCATTCCCGGGCGAACGTTTTCGATGGGCACAGGGTTCCCCGCAAAGAAAGTCGATGTAGTCAGACCTCGGAGGACAAAGGTTTCAATGCCGCGGTTGGCAACCACACCATTGAAAATGGCAACTTGACTTTTCTAAGGCGTCATGTTCGAGGGCATTGAACTTCTTTCCCAATCCATGAAGCAAAGTCAATGGTACGGCTGGGGTTGGAGGCATTGAGAAAACATAGCGAAGCATCAGTGGCTCTAAATCTATGTTGGATTTCCAAAAAGAAATTGAACCATCGGGCCGGCGATATCTTTTCTCAATGGCTCGGATGGGGTCGACACCATTGATCCTGGAATTGGATTCTGGAAAATAAATCAATGGTCTCAAAGAACAAAACAAGCTTTCTGAAGCCTTTGGGTTGTCTCAAGCGCCAAGTGTGGGCAGACATGGAGGCTGCCCTGCAAAGCCCTGTGCTCAAGAAGGCTGAGGAAAAGGCCACTGTGAAGCGGGAGGATGGGAAATCCAACGAAGAATCACCTTCGGCAAAGCGGCTTTGTGGCATCTATGAGAAGAAGGTTTCCAAGCTACCAGCTGGAGACCTTTCTTTGGTCAAGGATTTTCAGGGATTTCTTGAATTGTTCAAACCTACAATCAACCTACAAGAGATAAACATATATAATCTCTAGTAGCGATATATTTGTATACTCTACCATATTAATATTGTATCATGTTATATATTATTCAGATTATATATATATATATAACTTATAGCAATTCAAGGAGTCCTCTACACTCGACTTGAGAACTGTGCCAGGAGATGGTTCGCTTCATGGTCCTGTTCAAGGATGAGACCCAGCTTGTTGCAAAAGCCCACCCGGCTCATATGGTCCTAGACACACTCGCTGGGCCAAATGATATAGCCAACGAGTTGCATGCGACACAGGTGTCCCAATGGTACAAGGACTACGCTGCCATGCGAGGCCTACCTCATCTCTTCAAAGAGTCTGTCGAACCTAGTTTCCATGTTCAATCAACAGGTTTTGAAATTGTTTTGGGCAAACAAATGTTTGGTGCCCTGCGCCAGGGGTTTTGTAACTCGGCATCTCAATTTCAATCCAAGGATATTGATCAAAGCTCGGACGGAGAGACCATCAAGGTGCCATTCACCCACCTGAAGAAACTCAAATGAACTTATAGAGCTCATCTTTTGATTTTTGTCCTTTGGGCGTTGGTGGCTAGAATAGATTCACCTCTTCACCTCCAGCTCCGCTGTACCCAGGCTCTCTCCCCCAGCAGATGGCCTGGCAGTGATCGAGGATTGGATGACCTGCTTCGAGTCCATGCTGTTCGGAGGAGTGGATTTGTCTCGCGAGCCCATAGACGGCAACGTGACGAGAACAGGTCTGGAGGTCCAAAAAAAGTATTCTATACACAAACAAGTTCCACCAAAAAAACTCCAATGTAAGAATAGTTCATCATAGTTCATCAATAGTTTCCCCAAGGTTTCAAAAGTTTGGCAACACACAAAGTGCAGGCGATGGACCTGTGTCTTCTACACCGGGGAGCATTGAGATCATCAAGGGATGGACTCGGTGCAGTGTGGTTGGAACGCTGCTGTTAGCTTCGAGCGAAGTGGACCTACGGGACCCTGCTGGTGTTGACCTTTTGAAACCGTTATTCCCAGTCCTTGACCGATGCTGGTTGATTCCATGCCATGCTACTCAGATCTGTGACACAAATTTTTTGTTTGGTCGCTTTCAGTTTTTCTTCTAAGACAGATGTGTTTCACGATGTCTCCTGCTCCAAAACGAGGTGACACTAAACATGGACAATGCCCGTGTCAACTTCAGAAACATCTCCCTGAGCTACCGGGGGTCAGAGAGACAGCCGCCTTCGAGCTTACAATTGGCGCTTCGGATGTCAGCTGTCATGGAGCAACGGCAATCTGAAGGGCGCCACCCCGCAGATTGGAGCGTTGAGCAGAGACTTCGCTCGGTGGTGGACGAATTACATGACCAAGGAGGCCTGGCTTCAAAGCACTGGGTTGATGAAGAGAGATTTCGCTCACTTCACAATCTCATCAGCGGAACCACAGTAGAAGCACGAGATGTGATGGCGGCTCACCTACACCGCCACAAGTGGCGGGAATCCGCCTTTTCGGTGGAACAATTGAAGTCAAGCAGATGGCTTGTTGGATCTTCTCCAAAGATGGCTTCGTGCCCAGTGAGGGGGGCGCTGACAGTGGCCCCTGAGTCGCGGGTGTTGCACTTGCAGTTGGTGGTGCACCAGTTCTGTGAGGCCGGCAAGAAGCTTAGGCCATCGGCACGGCCGAAGATGCGCCTCTCCTCTGATGCGTTTGACAAGGCTTGCGACTTTGCGTGCATCTACACGTCGGTTCTGCAGGAGGCTCGGAGCCTGACCACCTTCACCAAAGAGAAAGAGGCAGAGATCTTGAGAATCTTTTTGCAGCGGTTCCTTGAACTACTTTATGGAACAACTTTTCTTTCCTAGTCCACTTTTGTTTTCACCAATTGACTTGTTCCTACCAATCACCATGTTGGGTCATTTTCCACCTGCAGCCTGCAGCCCCGTGTTCCTTTGTGCTCAGGGACTACATGTCCGAGATTGATGCATCTGTCTCATCGAAACTCTCCACGTGGCAGGTCCAACACCTGAGTTTGTGGACAGACTACGTTGACACCAAGGCAGCCGCAGTGGTCGCCAATGCAGAGCAGGTCGCTGCCATGGAAGACGAAGCTCAATCCGCTAAATACCGAGAAGTGAAGGCTAAGTTGCTGAAGGATCAGGCGGCCATGACACACTTCAACGCCTGCGTGAATCAGAATTCGAAGCGCAAACACGTTGTGAAGGTCATGCATGAGCGGGCTCAGGTTCAGTGTGGCAAGCAGTGCCTGTGAAGCATTGTGCATTATGAAAGAACATGTTGGATATTTCCACCTTTCAGAAAAGGGCTTCAATGTTAAAGTTAAAGTCTGAAGGCATCCAAACCAGAAAAAGTTGACCCGTCCTGGAATGAGGCTTTCAGAGACCTTCATGGAGAAGTGGAACCGTGTTTCCCTTGTGCCTGACCTCAAGAGCATGCCCAACCTGGATGCTGCTTACAAGCTGTTGGCCAGCCACCACAAGGCTTGGCTTGTGTGGTCCATCCATCTGTTCAAAGTTTTCTCCTCTTTGCCTGCTTGGTATTTAGATATCTGATGTGTGCATGTGTTCACACTTCTGCTCATAGGTTAACCTGTTGATGCACAGGTGCCTGTTGAGGATGTCAACACCATCATGTATGTTGATTGCACCAAGTTCGGAGTATTGAACCAGCCGGAGATCAATGCTATTGGGGAGATGGTTGAGAGGGTGCTTTTTCGGAACCCCTACCGTGGGGGTCTGAGATGTTTTTCTACTTTGTTGCCAGATTACTATTTTTCAAGCCCATGCCAAACTGTGTTCTTTTAATCTGGTTTGGGGCGCCTTCCAAAGGATCCGTGGCTGTGGTGCTGCCGCCCCTTCTTTGTGGGTCCACTGGTGGCGGTTCCTTGAGGGCAGACTGGCGGAAGCTGGAGGACAAGCTCCTGAACCACAAAGTGGAGTTGAGGCCCTTCTGCCTAAACCTCAACACCACTCACATCCACCAGAACAGGGATTTACCATCGGCCTACGTTTCCTTTTTGGGTGTGGCTGACTCCACCCTCCCAAACAAGGGAACAGCGCACCGAGCGGTGCGTGGTCGGGCGGACGCTGCTGATGTTGCACCTGCTCAGGTGAACACGTGTCTTTGTCTTGAACACCTGAATTTTTGTTTTAACTGTGTTGTTATTATTGTTTTCTCCTCAGGAGCTGTTGATGAATTTATTGTTTTGTCAAACCTGAACCAGGTATTGCCAATCGCCATTATGGATGAAGCAATCCTTGGTGAACTTTCCAGAGGCAATTGAGGAAAAGAACTTCATTGTGCCAGGTGAAATGATGACGTCCAATGAGGCCAGAAGAAACCTCAGTGATGTTCAGGAAACATCACAATGGCTCGGGGGCATCCATGTCCCTCGTGAGGTGCTCGTTGCGCTCCAAGGCTTGGCTTGTCAATGTCAAATGAATTGTGTTTCATCAATGGCGTGTGGTGGTTTTTCCATATTTCACGGGGCGGCTCAATGTTTTCAATTTTCCAAAGCACATCAATACACAACATTACACAACCCACAGGCACAGAGAAGTTTGTGAAGCCAACGCTTGTGGTGCACCCCAGCGCCTACGATGGAGCGCTTGAGCTTGCGGCTATGCACATGGGTTTTGGGAGCTTCTCCTATTCCACACAGGAGGTCCACTTCAAGTGCAGCAAGGAGATCGTGAAGAATTCCTTGGTGGAGGCCTGTGTGCCCAAACCTTCATTCATTCAGTCCTTGGATTGTTTTCAATGCTTCAGTCCTTGGATTGTTTTCATGTTATATAAGTGTTAAAAGGTGTGAAAGCAATCCTTCAGGCATGGAAGCAGGGCAAATCTCCCATGGACAAAATCACTCCGAAGTACCGGCGTGATCCACCGCAGGAGGAGATGCCTTCATCTGTTGATGCTCCCAACCTGGAAATCTGTCAGTTAGCAGACGGCAAGCTACTCTTGCCGACTGATGTGCGGCAGCACTTCCTCCAATGCCCGATATGGGGCAACGACTGGCGCAAAGAGCTGCAGTCATTTGATGCAGCCTGGGGCACCAATGCAGCCACCACACCCACTGTGGCTGAACCAGTGGCGAAGAAGGAGGAAGCAGCAGCGGGATCAGCAGATGGTCGAACCCAGTGCTTTTTCCCCAACGAGCCTGCATCGATTGACGCTGTGAAAGCCAAGTACGGCGATGTCATTGCAGAGGTTCCCATTCCTGACGCTCCAATTGTTTTGGTGGTGCTACCGGGATCTATCCTGTTTGCCCGTGCCACAGAGGCAACAACACTCAGGGCAGCGGATGGGCCGATCCTGTCGCATGGGCCTGGGAGCTGGTTGATTGGCGACAAAGCCACCAAATACGACCAGCAAAATGCAGGCAAGGGCCTCTTCTGTCGTTGGGAGAATGACGAAGGCATTGTCGTCCTTGAGGAGTGGGATTTGGGGTTGATGTTTTTCATCGCCAAAGGTTTTTAGGATTTCTATTAAAGGGACACAGAGGTTTCTTTGTTTTGTTGATAAATATTCCCAAGATTCTTGCATATCAATTTTTCACACCAGGAGAACTCCGTGGATTCAGAGAGGCTTACTTTGAGGGCCACGTTGCAGCTGGTGGAGTCAAACCACTTCGTTGACTCTCAGCTTGGAGGCCACACTTGCCAGAGGCCACCAGAAGTGGTACAAGGCCGGTCAGATGATCGGTTCAATGTCACGCCGGAGGCTGGCAATGAGCTCCTTTTCAGGTCCAACAGCGTCCAGGTGCGCAACCTCAAGCACTCGAATCTGGCATCCTTCTTCCCAGGAAACAAGCTTGAGGAATCTGCTGCTCTCATGTTGGTGCCTGGGATGATCATTTTCAAGCTTTGAGGCTGTTTGTGGTTTTTGTGGTGGGCTTCAGTGCCATTGGGTTTAGTTGTTGCAATCACCCACAAAGAAGGTGTGGAGACTCCGGATATATCAGACCGAGAAGTGTGTGGCAGCTGCCAAGCCCCTTTGGTTTCTTCGATCTTCATTGACCTTTTCCAAAGATGAGTGCAAAAGGATTGCATAGATGTATGTGACCATTTGTGGGTTGTCCTGTGCAGAGCACAGGCTTGGGGTTGATCAGCGATGACTGATCCGATCACTCTACAGTGCTAGGGCCGGCCAAGTGCTTGGTGAAAGCTTTTGCTTGCCGCCGACCGACCGATCATTGCGAAGTTGGAGATGCGAAAACCAATCGCTCAATGTCAGCTGGTTTTCTGAATGTCAGCTGGTTTGTTGTATCCCAAACTTGGAGATACACTTTGTCAAGCACACTTTGTCAAGCACACTTTGTCAAGCGTTTTCCCGGATTTGATCTTTCAATATCTTTCACCAATGATGTTTCTGAAAGGATTTAGTCTTGTTTATCCATTGTGCGTCTGACAGGATTTGGTTGTGTTCATCCAGAGTTTTGGCTGCCCAAGTGTGATAAGTGTGAGATCGCTAGGTTTGCTGTAACAGATGTCTTTGAGCAACCCAGAGATTCATACCCAGTGCATGGACTTGGATTTGGACCTCGAGTTCGTTCCTGTTGCACCCAAGCCTTTCCAGCCGATCTATGCTACAGCGGTCTCTATGAACCACGCCAACCCAGCAGTTGGGTACTCCTTTCGGGACCTTGCCTCATCTGCGTCAAGTTTCATGGCGCAGCCTGTGGAACAGCTGCCAAGCCTCCAAATCATTATGTGCCATTTGTGTTTGGAATGTAGTTGAAAACTTTTTGTTTGAATCTGTTTTTGTTACATTGAAATCGGCCCCGCTCATGTGGCTTAAGGTTCACTGAGTCTGCCTATGAAAAGGAGAACCAAAGTTTGAAGGCGAACTTGGCCAACCAGTTTGAGGAGGCTGAGGAAACCAGGCCTCCACTCAAGCGCCTACGTCCCTTCAGCGAAGAACAGATTGATGCGATGAAGCTCTGGCAAGACAGCCAGGATCCTGATGAATGTTTGCGCCAGGAATTGGCCACATTTGCTGGGCAATCAAATGGGGAACACTATGGGGAACACCCCATTCAACCTACAGATGCTCCTGAGGTTTTGGTCCAGCCTGTTGAGCCTACTCCTTCAGAGCCTGTTGGGCCTGATGTCCCTGTTGGGCCTGATGTCCCTGTTGGGCCTGATGTCCCCGAGGTTGAGGTTGACCAGGGTGACCGTGTGGAGCACCAGGCTCCGGAGGACGCAACGGACCGCAAAAGGCGAATCCATCGTGAAAATTCGAGAGCATGGCACAACAAGTATGTATCCAAGGGTGTCCTCCGCGAGGATGGAGCTGGAAATGACAACAAGAAGAACAATATGCATACGGCTTGTGTCCAGTTCGTTTCTGAGTGGATCGAGAAATCAAACATGGCACCAGGAAATGAACGCCGGAAGGCAGCCTATGCTGCATGGATGAGTTCGGAGCAGCGCGAATCCCTCTTGGCAGCCAGGAGCAGCATTCAAAAGTAAAGCTGTTCCCTCACATGTTTCCATTTTGTGTTGGCCAGGAGTTTGGTTCCTTGTTTGGTTCCCTCATAGTTTAGTTAGTTCAGTTCTTTGTTCAAAGCAGTCTCAATCCTGTGCCACACAGCCGGGGTTCACAGCCATAGGTCTGCGCTTGTCTCCTAGTGGTATGTAGGAGTCTTGAATCTTATCACCAATGGACAACCTAAAGAAGCGGGATGAAGCGGGAAAAGGAGGGAACGCTTGCCGAGAGAAATCTTCACACTTACAACCGGACTAGCTTTTTTAAAGCCTTTTTCAAACAACGATCTCAAAAAACAAAAGGATCTGCCAATTCTTGAAATACCACAGGCTGTCCGAACCCAATCCCATGCGTTGCAGGCCTTTGTTTGCGTGGCCCCGAGCTTCTTGAGCCTGCCGGTGGCCGTGAATCTCTGCCGGGTGTGCGAGAGTGATCCCCACCACAGGCCATCGCTAGTAGGTAGGATGCCATCGCTAGTAGGCAGGAGGTGATGGCCAGTAGGTAAAAGGCCCTCGCTAGTAGACCCTATAGGACTATATTCTCGAGAGTTCAATCGAATCACAGGTGATCTATGGTCTTCGGAGTTCTTTTGCTTGATTTGCCCACCTGTTTGAAAACTGATACATTACAGAATCTAACTTTAAAAACAAAAAACATATATATACAGTATATATAAGAACTCCCAAGCACCATCAATCCCAAAGTGTTCCAAAGGATTCACCCTTACTCCGGCTGTGCAGCACGTACCTCAAAGAGGTTCAGGCTGATTCCCGAGACGTGCCACATCTGTGGCACGGTGCAGAGGGCGGGCGGGGTGAGAGCGGAAGATTCCAAAACCGAAACGAGATAACACACTCTATGATAGTTATATCTATGCGCTCAGTTTTTGGTGCCAAAATCGAATCTCCAACCCGAACACAAATTTTAGTTGGAGCACTAGTTTCCCGTCTCCAACACACAATGTTGCATTCTAATTTTTTCCCAGCATGCAACATGCAATGTTGCAATTTTCATGGTGGTATCTGCGCATTGTGGTTTCCAGCGTGCACAGCTAGCTGTGTTGTAGTTTCCAGCATGCAACATGCAATGTTGCAGCATGCATGGTAGTGGAGCTTATTCCTGGGAAGCTTTTGTAGCTTCATTGTCAGAAAATCTCAACTTCAAATGCCACCAATTCAGCCTCAGATGCCACCAATGTAACTTCATAGTCAAAGCCAGATCTTCCGCCTCCGCTTGGAGGAACTCTGCGAACTCCTTGGTGGTGGTCAGCGTGGGCCTCCGATCAACCTCAAGTTCCTGCCGAGCCGCTGCAATTCTGAATCCCACTTGGCTTCCTCCATGCTTCGTGAGGTTCTCCGCAACCTTGGACAAGGCCTGAATCAAGACCATCGAGTCCGGGATCGCTACATGCAGTTCTTCCGCTCGACAAATCCACCTGCGCCAAGTTCGAATAGCGCCTAATCCTGGATGGAGCTGCCGCACTTCACCTCCGTCAGGCTGCGCAACAAATTGCCCCTCTCTGCATTTCCACCAGGTTGGTAGATGGTGAAGAGCTTGTACAAGATCGCCTGAGTAGCCACCCTTCGACTTGCAACGATGTCCTTTCTCACCGGTTCCGGAAGCGCTGCCAGCAAGGTTGAGCTCGCCCGCTGATCCAATCGTTGGAACCGTGGGGACACCTGCTCCTCCACCTTATCCTCAACCGTCCCAATGGTGTCGCCAAAAGCCATTCATTGTCACCTCTCGTTGCACCCAATCCCAAAGCTCCCTGGACGACGTACTGAGGTCTCCCATCAACGGAGTGATCACCGTCAGCCAGTCTCCAAACAGTAAGGCTGCATTCTCAGTCGAAGGTGATGGCAACTGTGGCAACTCCAGGTTCCGCATTGCCTCAGGCAGTGCAGCTGTCACCGAATCCAGCGGCTTCATTACGTTCACCGCCCCATTCAATCCACTTCCATGACCTCGAGGATCGTGTACTGGAGCAAGACCAGGAGGAGTGTCAAGTGGTCCACCAAGCTTGGTAGGGCTCTTGCGGTCCCTCCGCCTTCGCACTCGGCACTGATGTGAATGATGCCGAATCTCCAGCGTCCGTCATCTTCTTCACCTCCCGAGCAAAGGTCTCCTCGGCCTCCCTCAAGATGCGTTCTCGAAGACGTTCAACATGTCCCATACCTGGACTTGGTGCAGGATGTTGGCCCCTAGCCACTTCAGATTCACGAACATGTGACTCACCCTTGGCCGCTTGCTGCACCGAAGCGCTCCAAAAGGGATTCACTGTCCCCAATGGTCCCACCGGAGTGGTGGGATAAGGCTCCAGCACCCGAGGATGTAGATCATCACGTCCTGCTCCAGCCATATATGGTGATGTCCCCATGCGCTCCATCTGCCGCAATGGAGTGCCCGCCGCCAGCCCGTGCCCTGGGAGAACTCCACATCCGGTACCGGCATGACCTCCCTGATCACCAGGCCGAAGAAGAGGATCAAGTAGGGTCGGCTGGGAACTTGGCCTTTGAAGAGCATGTTGCAACACTTCAAATGACTGCCGAACTGCCTCCTGCAAATGCCCAAGCCCCATCACCTGGCCTCTTGGGTCATTCAACAGCTGTCGAACTTCCTGTTGTCCTTGATGACCGCTCGATGCAGCCACCACAGTAGGGCCTCCATGGCCAGATCCCCTCCATGGCCAGATCCATCCCCAGCAGCTGCACCCAGCCGCTTCACCTCAGCTGCCCTCACAGGCACTGATTGCGCCCTCCCGGCCTTGCCCTGCAGCTCCTCCTCGATCAGCGCATCCAGCCGGCGATCGGCCACACCGATCTCCACCGGCGGAGCTGCAGCTTCCTTCCGCTCTCGCGACCGCTGCTGTCGGCGCCGTCGCTGATCCATGGGGACCAACACTTCCCCGTACTCACTACGGTAGAAGGTGGACTTGGAAAATCAAAAAGGCCGAGTTGGGCTCATAACCTGTGGTTATGACATGGGGTGCC